TTTTGGGTAGATGCCTAATAGTGCTATTGCTGGATCGAATGGTATTTCTATTTTTAGCTCTCTGAGGTATCTCCAAATTCTTTTCTACAGAGGTTGCACTAAGTTGCAGTCAGATACTTTTTAAAATCAAGAATTAGAACCATTTAGAAACCACAGATTTTTGTAGCAAGTTCCTCCCTCACTACTTAATAGAATATTAACAAAAAAGTTCTGTCAAGTAAATATAATAAAGCTAAGACCAGAAACTGCCAGTGAAATGTGTTATCCATTCATTCATTTGTTTGTTCATTCAATTAATCAACAAATCATTATTGGGCAACTACACCGTGCCAGGCACAGATGACAGGGCCACAGAGAACAAAATAGATAAGAGAACTGTTTTTGTGATGTTTATATTCTAGAGAAAGAGGTCTTATCATACAAAAGACCGAGTAACACACTTTTGTAAACCCATGCATTAAACCTGTTTCATGCGGCTACTGTTTTTGCTTACTTTAATTTTCCAGTCAGATATCTTTGATCTAAGCTTCTCTTTAAGGACTCTCTGTATACCCATACTTTCAAGTTGCTATGCAATAAAACACAGATACATTGCCAGTTCCTCCTGCCCCACCCAAAAACATGGTAAGAAAAGCAAAGCCTGCAAAGAAACCTGACCTTAGCAACTATGTAGGCAGGAAATGAAGGATTAACTCAAGCAACTTAGCCAGGGAAAGGAAAATAAATTTCCCCTAATTTCCAAATCAAGCCACATAGAAATCAATTTGGTACATTTAAAGTGTGATAAAATTGAGTTTTGTCTCTATAGATACTGGAGATACTTAAAATGTTGCCCCAGTTTTGGGGACCAGAAGGGTTAGTGACCATACAAGCCAGGACCAATGTCTATTACCCACTGCAGAGTCTGGCACAAAGAGCACAATATTAGTTTCTTCACCACTTGATTTTACAAAATAGTTTATGTTATAGAAGAAAAGTAAGTAAGAATTTCATTCATTTTCAGATGCAGCACATATATAAATTGAGTGAAAAATCTAAACCCCAAATTCTGTTGATTTGCCAAGGCACCGAAAATCATAAAAACGTTTATTGAGACAAAGTAAAAGAATATTTTTATTGCCACAAATGTGTGTACTGCACTGAAAAAAATTAAAGGACAACTTATAAAACTACCAGCTGATACCCATTATTATAACTGTAACTAGCTTCAAAAAATAAGCTATTTCATTTAACTTCAATATGATAATGAAGAAGCCAATAGCTTTTGTATAAACTTGCCAGTCTTATATTTGTATATTATTAGAACCTAACTATCAT